AATAATTTCCTATACTACTTTGGGGCTCTTTATTATAGTTATGGTATAATATACCCCAAGGGCCCTATTCTAATTAGTAAGCCCGGTATCTTAGCTAGTTTTTGGACCTTGAAGCATCATAACCCCAATTAGGACCAGTTTTGGTGCACTTGCAAGTCTACAGCAGTCACTACCTTCTTACTACTGTTGATGATATAAATCCTGCATTACCTTAAGTAAGGACCCTAAACTATGGGAATTATGGTGGTATGTTCCTCATTATGGGTGCTGCAGGATTTTTATCATCAACCGTAGAATAGGGTCTTGGGCTCCTTTGTAGTATAACTATAATAAGGAAGCCTAAGGAACACTACCGTACGTCCCGCAACCCTCCAAGCAGCAGCCGGCGCAACGAACCCCCACTCCGAGCACAAAGCCTGATGGGAGGAGCTAGCACCTGCCAGCATCTTGCTTTGGGGATTTAGGGCTTCAGGTTTAGGTTGTCTATTTTTTAGCCGGGCCTTTTTCCGCGTTTGGTTTAGGGCTTAGGGTTTAGAGTTTGTGTTTTAAGCACCTTTTTCCGCCTAGCAGTTAAGGTCGGCAGGGTTTAGAGTTTAGGGTTTAGGGTTTAAGGTTTAGAGTTGAAGGTTGTTTGGGGGTTAGGGCTTAGGGGTCCAGGGAGCTGGCCCCAGATATCCCAACCAGCCCCCTTACCTCCGGAGCCACTTTCAGGAAGCTTGAGGGTAGCTATTGAAGATATCTTCGACAGGCAGCTTACGAGTTGAAGTTGCTGTTGTTAGCTCAAGCTGCAGCCGTAGCAATCATCATCATTAGGCGAAGCTTATTCAAAAGCAAACCCCAGTCCATGAATTAAACAGCTTGTGCCTGTGGGACACAGGGCTTAGGGCTTTTCATACTTCTATGCATGACACCAGCCGAGTCCGACACTCCTTTCGACAAAGCCCGAGGCACCTTCTGGGGACATCATCTTCTCTGAAGCCGGATCACCTGGGCAACAAGGCGCGGGAATAGAGCTACACAAGAGCTTCCTCTCTGAGATATCCAGCCCTGAGATGAGGGACCCATCTAAGGCTAAACGGCCCGTAAGCTCGACGCTTGGGGATGCAAGTGCCTGTGAGGGTTTTGGGTTTAGGGTTTAGGGTTGTAAATGTTTTTTAGCCCAAATTGCTGTAGCTAAACTACCTGTCAGCACAAAAGGCTGAGAACACCGACAAGGATCTCAACTTCGACCCACATATACGAGCACTTAAAACTACTATACATCATGCAGTACGGAACCTCCTTTGCATTGTGGCAACCAGCTATACCTTAAGATCAAAAGCAACCTCGAAGGAAGGACAGACGGGAGTTTCAGAAGACCAAAAAATCTGAAAGAATCGGATCCGTAATATCACCACCACGCAAATAACCCTGATTTTGAAAAAGCCCTAAACCCTAAACCCTAAAGCCCCACAGCCCGGAACCCTAAACCCTAAACCCTACACCCTAAACCCTAAAGCCCTAAAGCCCCGGAGCCCTAAACCCTTAACCCTAAACCCTAAAACCCTAAACCCTGAAGCCCCCCAACGCCAGACCAAGGAAGCTGGGCTCTCCCGCAGCCGATGCTGACGGTGGCCTACGAAGATCTTGCTGCATCGAGCCATAATGAAGGCAGACATTTGCGTTTCGGGTTAAGGGTTTAGGGTTTAGGGTTTAGCGGTTTAGGGGTTTTGGGGTTTAGAGGTTTTGGGGTTTACGGTTTAGGGTTTAGGAGGCAGACATTTGCAACCCTAAACCCTAAACCCTAGACCCTAGAGCTTCTGGAAGTTGGCTTCTAGGGTTTTGGGCCCAGGGAGCAAGAATGCCAGGAGACATCTTTATGAAACATATGCCCCAAACACAGCGTCTGCGCTTTTTCGACCGCGGGGGTTGAGCTGTAGATGCGATTTCGCAGGCACCTTTGGCTTGAGAAGTTCTGACATTCTAGACTCGAGCGTCAAGACGACTCTTGACAGCACAAAATATCAAAACGGTCATGATCCAATCATAGGAGACTAGGTTGTTAGGGCGCAGGGTTCAGGGCCTACGGATAGAACCGAGAGTCCAAAACAAAAACGGAAACTGCAAGCCCCATCCGCTCAGTCATGCAAGAACATTGATCCGAAACTTCTACATTGCCAAAGAAGAATGCCATGTATCAGACGGCCCAACTCGTAACTCGAAGAGGAGAGGAGGGGTCAGACCACGCAGGAAAACACTGTTAGCTGTGCGACAAAAAAAGGGGCCCTTCATTCAAAGGCCTGATTAGGGTTTAGGGTTGGGTTTAGGGGACGGTTTGGAGTTTAGGGTTTAGGGAAACCCATGCTATAGGCTTTACTCGAGAGAGCGGGTGGCCATGCTGCGACGGAGGGATGCAGCATGCGATCAAGGGCATCACCTGAAAGGTCGACTGTAGGTCTTCCCTTCAAGGATCTGGGATGGCTCCCAGAGAGCCCAATACCCCTTCATGAAGGAATTAGACCTTAAATTATAGGGGCCTTCATATTATGATTTAAGGTATATTCCTGAATTAAGGGATATTGGGTTCTCTGGGTTAGTTCCGGGATTTGAAGTTGGGTTCTTCTGGCTGTTCAGGATTGAGACTGCGGGCCGCAAGGTTTGAAGGTGTGGGACCCTGTTGGAAGGAAACGGGTGGAAAAACACCCGTACAGTTTAGAAACGGGCGATGCCTCACGGGTGATATTGCAATGCGTTGCAGTGCGGTGGCCTTGCAGGATGTCAGCGCTTTACAGTAGACTATCCATACCACATGATCATGAGCAATGTTGCGCAGTATGCTTTAATAGTATTGCAGGCTTCTGCCTTTAGCAAACTTCCAATGCTCGCTGAATGCAGGCATCGGAATAGGTTGAAATCAATACGCCCTTTTTAAGCAGCATGCCAATGTCTCAACCTTCCAGTAAACTCTGAAAGCTAAAAGGCACGAACCCGATTCAGGTTGCGAGTTCACGTCGGCTAAGGGCTTTACGAATTGAAACAGTGTGCGTCTCATTGATTGCCCAACGAGGCCTTCAGAAATAGAATCAGCCAAAGGCCCGCAAGACAAGTTGTAATAACCCAGACAGCCCAAGACCCTCAATTGGAGAAATATTGCGAAAATTCCTTGAACTATAACTATAGAAGATGTCCTCCTAGAATTTCGGGAAGCTTCAATACGTGGGCGTAATTCTAAACCAGCCAAGCAGCGGTCTTGGCACCGTAAAGCTGTGCGCACTGCAGTAGCCGAGATGTCGGGCAGCTCAGCAGTTACCTTTTCTTGGGCGGGGTAAGGTTGCAGGATAGGGTTTAGGGTTTAGGTTTTAGGGTTTAAGGTTCAGGGTTTAGGGTTTAGGTCTTAGGGTTTAGGGTTCAGGGTTTTAGGGTCCTCGAAAAAAATACAAGTCAGATTTCTTGCCGACTCTCCCGAGAACGTCTTTCCCCTACGTCTAAGGGGCACGAGAGTCGGCTCTGGACCTGCATTTCCCAGAGAGCCCAATATCCCTGAAATAAGGAATTAGACCTTAAATTTATAGGGGCCTGAATATTATGGTTTAAGGTATTTTCTGTAATTAAGAGGTATTGGGCTCTCTGGGTTCTTGCATCCCCCCCCTGCAAGCCGCGAGAAAAACCGACTCCAACGAGATGGCCCACAAAATCCACTGGGGACATGGTTAGGATTTAGGGTACAGAGATTTGCGGTCCAGGGGTTGAGGCTTTAGAACCCCAAAATACCCTAAATCTAAACAGAGCTAAACCGATCACAGCTGCGTGAAAGTGCGGCGTGTCCAACACGCCGTACTCCCGCGCGCCCTCCAGGACCTTCTCTGTCCATTCCTGGGCTATTGCTAAGGGATTTAATTTAAGTTACTATAATAATAATAATATAGTATTATTATAATGAGAAAGCCATACTATTTACTACAGATCCCTATTATGGTAACTTAAATTAAACCCCTTAACAAGAACCCTAAACCCTAATCCCTTAACAAGAACCCAGGTTCCGGCCGCCCAATGGTGATGTAGCGCTGGGAAGCAGACCTGAATGGCCGAGTTCATACGTGAGGTTTGGGGTCTAGGGTTTAGGGCTTAGGGTTGAGGGTTTAGGGTTTAGGGTTGGGGGTTTAGGGTTTAGGGTGAGTTTCAGCTTTGTCGGAGGTTTTACAATCTCAAAAAAGTCTAGAGGCAATGAATGCAGCAGCCATGAGACGCATGTTTCCACTTCTCCCACCTCAGGGTGTGGGCTTTTCGGAGTCGGGGTTTGAGGTACCGAGGAAACAGGAGGGCTTTGGGTTTCGGGTTCCACCTTCACTGTGTAGAGCTTGTCCCCCAAAACCCTACACCGTTTCGGGTTTGGGTGCTTGCGGCTTAAGGAAGCTTAAGGGGTGTTTCGTGGCCTTAAACGGCAGTCCACCTGGCGACGTCGTCTGCCCCGTTGAGGTGAAAGTGGACGAACTTCAAGTGCTGCCAGCGAGTGTCCTGGACGGCCTATAAGGGTTTTGTAGGAATTTGTAACAGAATGTCTAATAATTTGTTGAAGGGTAGCTCATAGGGTTCTTCACGAGGTGCCTAATCGGGCTTTATCGGTCGTTAAAGGGTTGTCTAGATCATCGTATGCCCTGTCACAACAACTGGGTAGACACCCTGAACCCTAAAGCCTAAGCCATGTGTCCTCCTCGAGCTCTTGCACGGCCTCTTTTGCCTCCGAACTACGCGAAGCTGCAGAGTTTCCATGCTTAGAGCTTTGGCGTCTCGGCTTTGGAGGTGTGCTTTTGTTCTTTTGTGCGGTTTCGGGCTTAGGATCAAGGGCTTTGGGATTGGGGCTCTGGGCCTTCGGCGGGGGGACTCTTGTTAGTCTTGCAGGGTTTCTATTTCGGGGTTTGGGGTTTAGGGTTTAGGGTTTAGGGATTAGCAGCCTACGGGATTCTCAAGAAAGCAGATGACTCAGCTCTTCGACAGTCAAGGACAAGCCCGCCAACGACACCCCGAGACCCCCCCCAAGTTCAAAACAAATGGGGATAGAAATAAACAGTTACAAAACTGATAATCAGAATGACACTAACATTCGTAGTACTAGTAGTAGTAATCATCAGCAGAATATTGGTACCAATCGGATGAATAACAAGAGTATTCTAAACAATGATAGCAAACCATAAGTCAACACGGAGTGGTAACTACGGTTGATGATATAATATAAATCGTGCATCACCCATAGTAAGGAATATGCCACAATTCTCATAGTTTAGGGTCCTTAACGTAGTGCATGATTTTTATCATCAACCCTAAACCCTAAACCCTAAACCCTAAAACCCTAAAACCCTAAAACCCTAAACCCTAAAACCCTAAAACTCCAAAACCTAAAATCCCAAAGCCCAAAACCCTAAAACCCTAAAACCCTAACCCATGGTAACGAACGTGCAGACCGAGCCCCTCTCAGCTCCGAAGCCGGGGCCCCTTTGCAAGACTCCCAGAATGGGCCCCAAACAGAATGCCTCCTGATTCCTACACGGTTTAGGGTTTAGGGCTTGAGGGTTTTAGGGTTTGGGGTTTTAGGGTTTTAGGGTTTAGGGTTTAGGGTTTTAGGGTGTAGGGTTTAGGGTTGATGGTAAAAATCCTGCGTTACCCATACAAAGGACTATACCATGATTCCCATAGTTTGGGGTCCTTAGGGTAATACAGGATTTATATCATCAACCGTATTCCCAAAAACCCCTACAACCCTAAATCCTACGTCCTAAACCCTGAACCTGAGAAAATGAGCCCTAAACCCTCAACCCTGAACCCTAAAACCCTAAGCCTTAAAACCCTAAAACCCCAATCCCAGATAGACTTTGGCTCCGGATAAACCCTAAAACCCTAAACCTTAAAACCCTAAAACCCTGAACCTTTAAACCCTGAAACCCTGAAAACCCTAAAACCCTGAACCTTAAAACCCTAAAACCCTGACCTTTAAACCCTAAAACCCTGAAAACCTTAAAACCCTAAACCCTAAACCTTAAAACCCTAAAACCCTGAACCTTTAAACCCTAAACCTTAAAACCCTAAAACCCTGAACCTTTAAACCCTAAACCCTAAACCCTAGTTTCCCGAAGTCAGCCGGCCTCGAGGTTGTTCAAGACGAGCCAAGGGACCTGACCGTCCCCACATCTATGGGAAGGGGGGGCCTGTTTTCTTTTAAAACCAACAAAAACCCCCACCAATCTTTAAGACCCTGAGGGCTAAGGGTTTAGGGCTGGTTTAGGGGTTTCGGGTTTAGGGCTTAGCTTTAAGACCCTAAGCCTTGAGCCCTTAAACATCAACCCCGATCTTCAACCCCTCAGCCCTACAGCCCTAAGCCCGAAACCCCTCATCCCCCGACCCCAAACAGTGAAGGAAGTCTTCCACGGCTGCTTTTGGGACGTAGTGCTTCGGGCTCCGACCCAGAGATTTGACGACCTAGGGTGCGAGGTTTGAGGACTTAGGGTTCCGGGTTTGGGGTTTAGGGTTTAGGGTTTAGGACTTTGGGTTAAGGGTTTGGGGTTTAG